CACTGTGCTCTCAACCTCATTAAAACCATCAAGTTCACGGGGCAATATCTCTCCTCTCGCTTTTGAAATTACGCCACTTCTGTCTTACTAAACAAGCTTTGCTTGACATTTGCAAGAATACCTCAATTAACACTGACAAGTTAGACGTGAAATTTTTAGTTATTTATTTATATCAAATGGCAGGCGTCTTGATGGTTATCATTAGCCCTTTAGTTGACTTCAGGCTTCACAGATGGGAAGAAATATCAAATTGAAGTCGAGAGGGGGGAACAGAAGAGTGTTTCAAAGATGTAAGAGACAAACACAAAGATAGAACAAAGGTGAGGTGAATACTGAGGAAATAGTCGAATATGGCATAGAGTGAGGTGATGGTAGTTTTAAGTGAGAAGTCAACTGCCGGTTAATAGACTTTTTTGCCGTTAGACGTGAAATTAATACTTTAACAAATTTCCATGTTATTTATTAATTAATATTTCCTAGAGAATTTGTTTTAATCAGGTCTCGCGGACTAAACAATCGGCTTCTAATTGCGCTCAGAGATGTTGCTAGACTTATAATTGTTTTATTTTTCTATTTCGTAGAACAATGACTATTTTTAGTTTCATTTCAAGTGTTGTAGTGTTTTTCTAACTAAATTTGCAGTGATAGTGCTAGCAATTCTGCCTGAGACAAGTGTCCTCCTTTTCTATAAATTCTGTTACATTTGGGTTCATTTGTCCATATTGAATTAATATCAATAGGTTTAGCAGAGTAAAGATGTCTACAAAAGTGCACGAATTCTTATATCCTACGACAGCTCACTGTCACTTTGAAGTGTTCGTAAAAGTGACAAATCTTCTATTCAGTTATTTTACATTGGGCAGTCGTGAAAGGTAACGAATCCGTTATGTCACAGGAAAATTAACATGTTTATTTGGCAACCGATTGTTTATTTAATGCTTTGTTAACTCGTTCATTAATTAATTGGTAGAGATGTGAATCAGGCAGCTGTGTGACTCGAATAGGATTATCACAACAATCGGAGACCGTTGAAGTTCATGGTGCTAGACAAATCAGTCCACGCTTCTCCTTGGTAGCAAAATGTCGGTGCTCGGCTAACTTTGGCGGTGCTGATTGTGAACGACCACGAGATATTTGCGCAACCACCACTTGTGCAGCTCCGCGAATCTGTGTTCCCTCTCAAAGTTCACCCCTAAGTCAGCATGCCTGTGTCTGTCCCCTCCCATGGACTGGACCTAACTGTGATAGACTCTCCAGATCATCGATTTCTAGCTCGCTATCCTCCTCTGGATCCGACGCCTGCTTCTCTGATGCCTGTTTCCTTCAGAGGGGTTCGTTAATTTCCCCATTTATAAACCTCGTGTATTGGGTTGTTTTAGATTGAGTGTAAGTGGAGGGGGGGGGGTAGAAGAAAGGTGGTTAGATTATTAACCAGCCTTAATTAGAAGCAAAGTTGTTTTTCTATCCATTTTTGTTTCTTTTCTCGCTTGCAAGTATGTCAAAAAATGTTCGACGGATGTCTGCTTTCTCTACCTAAAAAGTATTGATGTGTACAGCTTGTTTGGTGACTTGATTTTTTAATCGTGAAACAGTTTTATGGAGAATGGAAGATTTTCTTTTGTGGTTTGGTCTTTCTTTCAACTATTGGTGACGATCGTCATTTAATCTTGTAGTTAAGTGTCTTAAACGGCCTTTACTTACAAGCTGTTGATAGTTTGCACTTGGCTTTACCGTTAGTCGGATACTCTGATAAATTTACTTCCTATCTTAGTCCCTTCGTTGTACGAATTTATTTCCATGAAGGAAGCGTTGTCAACAGAAGATTTGAGTGGAGACAAAATTTTCTCTAACAAGAATCTCCTAGAATATATAATCTCTCTAATTAAATAGATTTGACGAATAAGTTGTCCATCTTCACCTCTAAGTGCTTGATATCGTCCTGCCTGATGCTGCTGACTTGCACTTGAATAATACGTCCTTGAAGGGTAACTATCTAGATTTGGACTTGCCCTTGTTTGGACGAAATGGTTGCTATCTATGTATGATGTTAAAAATCATGACTAACTTTCTTCTGTTTGATTTTCGAGCGAAAATGGTCATAAAAAAGTAACTCTTGGTTGACTCGAAAGGTGATTACTTTTATTATCTTTTTAATGCAAAATACTTTTGATATATATTCTAATAGCAGTTTTGCGAGGTTCGTTAATTACGCATATATATATTACTTCATTAAAATAATATTTTCTCCCAATTTTTTTACAGAGAAAGGACCGCTTCAATTCACTGGCGGTAGCTTCGTACACTGGGTGGTGGGAAATCCAAATGAATACAAAATTGAAATTGCCTTCTCCATCCGCACTCGACAGCAAAGTGGTCCACTCTTTGCGGTCAACTGGAATGCTCTTCGCGCTTTTCGAATTCACTTAGTCAACAATAGCAATCTCGCAGTTTCTCCCGTCGATTTCACAACTGGAAAGCCAATTAATGATTGGATAGTTTCTAGCCGAACTCAATTGGGTGACGGACAATGGCATCGTGTGAGATTCGTATTATTTGCCTCAGCAACAGACTTGAATGGTAAGTCTGCTCCTTCTAGTCAAAATAAGTGTCCTATTCTTTCATCGAAACTTTGCATTTCAAGATCGTCAGTTTAACGCTTTTGGTTTTTCGTCTATTATTTAAAATTTAGCTTTAATTCGACTCTGAAGTGTTAATTTCACTTTAGATCTTCGATGGTGGGTTGAACTGGCAATCGATGGTGCTCAGACCCACTCAAAACTGATTAATTGGTTACCTGGTGATACTGAACGCCAAGACGTACTTTTTGGTGCTGAACTTGTTCATGGATTCCGACCACTAGCAGAAGTCTTCTATCCAGATAATTGGATGAAAAATGATCAAAGTGGACCCGTGGATGCTGACTGGCCCCAATTCGACTTTGCTGCACCCCCAGCAGTTTTAAGATTTGGGTTTGTTGGTAAGTTGTGAAAGCCTCTCAGTCATTCGATTTGTTTAATTTATCCTCCTTAATGCATTCTGTGCCTTCAGGCTGCATCAAAGACGTCCTTATTAATCGGGTGAAACCACCTTATCAATTGGGATTGAGTACACAGCAAGCGGTTCTCTCAGCCATGCAAAATCGGAAATCTACTGTAGGCGCTTTAAGTGATGAGGATCGAGGTATAGGCGGACTCTCAGTGCTACAGGTGGTTCGAATTCATAAACTTGAATATCAGTGTTCATCACAAAAGACCTACGAAGGTTCCTGCGCCTATGCACCTTGTCTTAATGGAGGTACATGCACTTCCCGTCGTGCTCTTGCTTTCACTCAAATAGACAGGGGTCCTGCGGCTATTAGGCCTTCTGATTTTAATTGTACTTGTCAAGCAGGATTCCAAGGATCGTTGTGTGAAGAGACAACGGACATATGTCGGTTACAGCCTTGTCTCAATGGTGGCAAGTATGTGAAGAAATGTAATCTTTTATTATTCTCTGGATGGTTTCTTAAAGAGCTCCTTTTGTTTCCTAGTTGCGAACCGGTGAATGGAAAGTCATCGGCATACCAATGCATCTGTCCACAAGGATTCAGGGGTGTTCACTGTGAGAAATCTACCAATAATTCAAATACCGCCTGCTCTAGAGCTGAAGCTGTCTTAACGGCTGTTCCTGGGGCGAAATCAGTCCCGCTGTGTAACCATGGCGCTGCTTGTTTGGACACTTCAGAAGGTCCTGCTTGTGTTTGTCCCTTAGGGTGGCGCGGTGGAAGATGTGAATACGATGTGGATGAATGCCACATGGCCTCTATGGCCTACGCCGCTGCCTCGGCAGCTGCTGCTGAAACCGAAAAAGGTCACTATAGATATCCCGATTTGTCTGGACCTGTAAATGACCCTCTCTGCAACACCTATGGTTCACGTCGTGGTGTCTGCATTAATCTGCCCGGTTCATATCAATGCAACTGCAGTCTGGGTTATGCTGGCAGGAACTGCCAAATACGGGTATGCTATTTGTAAATAAGTTAAGTTAAGATGAACATCGGTAGTGATTGGAACAACGAAAGGACTAAAATTTTATTTGAAAATTTTGTTCGAATTCTTTCTAGAATCTTAAAAATCTTCTTTGACCAGAGATTAATCATCTTACGTTAGTATATTTGCTGTGCGGGGAATCTGAATGGTAAATTTATTCCAATCTTGTGGTCATACCAGTTCGACCTTTAATTTTTGGGTACGGACATCATGTGGTAGGTTTTTTTAAAGTAGGGTCACTCTTCAACTCTATTGGAGCAGTTAAGTTCATTAACCTCGCATGCGCAATTTAGAAGGAGGTCAAATCAATTTAACATCTCGCCATTTAAGCTTAAAGCACAATTCCGCATCGTGACACAAACTCAGGGCGCTTGACGGTAGCTTCATGTCTTAAATTGCTTTTAATGTGCTTCCATGGTTTACCATTCTCTTGCCTCCACTTTTTTTCATCACTCTCCTTTTTATGCCTTAGTCTTGATTCACTCTTTATCCTACCAATGTCTTTCATTACGAGCTTGAAGCAACATTTGATAGTTATTTGGTTGGCTGACTTTATGATAAAAAGCTAACGGTATGAGCATTTTCTAGTAACGCTTATTACTGGAGATGGTATTGGTATAAAAAAATTTGTCAAAAGGAGAAATATAACCGCCTTCCCATCTCCGATAGCGTGCCTCATGTGTCTTCATTTTTTGCAGAATCTCACACCCCTGAAACCAGACTCTAACGCTCTTGGCTTGACTCCAATGCACGGATACATCATTGCAGGCATCTTCGCAATAATTTTCCTTGTTGCTGTGATTACAGTGGTCATACTCACCTGTTGTTTCCGTAGACGATCACCTCTGACTAATCATTTTTACACAACTCGTAACGATGGTCAGTCGAATTCCTCTTTTTTCCCTGGATGTGAAAAAATGCTCGTGGCTGGTCTACTTCAGCCCCAGCAACAGCAGCAGGTGAAACTGCTCAGCGATTCTGGAACTAGAATGCTACCTGACGGAGGTGATGGATCGGTGACTTATTCACCAACACGAACTCTCGGTGGATCGATGATTCTGGGTCCTGGAAGGCCTTTACTCACACCGGATATTAAAAGGCAATCTTCATATTTCATGGATGAAAATGGACGACTTATGCTTCTGAGGCCTAATAGTGTGATTGGAAGTAACGGTGGGCCTGGTGAACCCTTAAAAATGGTCTATCTTGGTGAGTTCAACTCTTTATTTTTGTTAGTTAAGATGAAGTTATGCTTTTCCATGCCTGTGAATTCGCACATTTATTGCGTCGTGAACTTGGCGTTAATTGACTAACCTATTTGAATCAGTTATTTGTCTAACGCATACTGCCTCATTTGGTGTCTGAATTGTAGTTCATTTGGTGTCTGGTTTTAAGGTTGATTTGCTATAAAATACTAGGAGTTCCAGTAAATATGCGCACATTTTAAAATAACATTAAAATGTCGTTCATATATATGAAACTAAGGGATATATTTTCCGCTTTAACTTGCACTTCTTTCCCACTCTTCATGCACCTTTTCCATTTCCTTTTTGTAAAATAATTTTCTGCTTTTGAATTATAATTTTCGTTGAATCGATTTTTGACTTCAGTCACATTCCGAAATCGTTTTCCTGTTAATTATTATGTTCCTTTAAAAAAGCCACAAAGAAAGCGTTACGTCAGATTGCATATTTGTATAATATTCTTGTAAGCCTACAACTACGAGCAAATAGACGGGAATATTTTAAACTGATTTTCTTTTAGGTGGAGGAACAAGTGGTACCATGTCACCAGTACCAGTGGGTTACATGCCAGCTACAACAACCTTGGCTCGTCGGAGTTTTATCGACTGCGGTATGCAACATCGAGTCGCTCCCATGACACCCCAACACCTTTCTCAAGTTCACCTAGCGCCTCATAGTAACCACATAGTCCACCTACAGCACCCTGGTTCCTCTTCTGTCCATCAACAACCACGTCCTGGTTCATCCAACACGATGACATCTGATCGTATTTCTCTGGGTTCGGGATCTGATCAATTTTCTGTTCAAAGTGGTGGACCGCGTGGGGTTCAAGGACAGGCTATGATGTCACCCCAGTCGCAAAATCAGCAGACGCCCTCTTCTGCTCAGCAACAGGTCTTTTATGTGTATCCTCAGTCAACGACTACTACGCGACCATCGCAGTTTATTCTACCCCACCAGATGCTCCCTTCGGAGGCTCCCCCAGTTGTGTTCTATCGACCAGAGGGGAATAACAACAGTGTGGGCAACTTATCCGCCTCTGGTAAAGTTCCTTGACTCTTTTTTCGTACCTATTTTGCTCCTTTTTCATACATTTTGCATGTCTGTTATTCCATGACAGTGTTGTTGTATTGTGTTGCACTACTTTTGATCTGCTTTGATGCTCTTATTATTTTGTCGATACGCGATTGCTTGTCAACTCGCTCCTGTCTTGGTAAACAATTGCAGTGTGTGGCGAGATTTTGGACAAATGTGAATTCAGAGCGTTGGATTAATGCGAGATGTGCACGTAGGCTGTTGATAATGAAGTCGCCTTACGTTTAAGGTGAATAAGAGTTTTCGCAGTTGCTAATATGTAAGGAAATAATTATGTTAGCTATTCATCATTACCCATCTTACGATTTTTACAACGACAGCAAATAAAATATTGGAAGTGGAAGCTTTAGTAGGCAGTGTTATAATGCATTTAGCCTGTCACATTTGAATTAAAGTCGTCAGGATTGAGGCAACGTGGCCAATATTTCCGTCTACTAAGTTCAGGATCACAAAGTAACTGGCATATTGGGAGTGACCTGCTTTAATTTTTGGCTGATCCTCGCGTGAAAGAAAACAAAATTGAGGGCAAACATCCTTCTCAGTTGAGTTTTAGTTCTAATATAGGCGATTCTCGGGTGTTCATTCATTTTAACCAATGCGACGTCCAGCCTGGAACACACTGCACCAAAAACTAAGTGTCTTTTACACTGAACGAAAATTACCCTTTCAATTTTAGCCTTACAAGCACGTGCATTTGATTTTTTTGTGTAGTCAGGCATAGCAATGAATATGCTTACAATAACATTAACATTTGGTCTCTAGTGTGCATTGAGATTGCCAATATGCACAATTTTGTTTACTCAAGTATTTAGCAGCGTCATAAATAAACCTGCACAAAATGTGTAAATTCATTAAGAGTCTTCTAGTTCTTAATAATTGTTCATTTTTTTGAAAGAAGACTTCAAGTACAATATTCTCACAATGTATGACTTGAGTTGTTGGGTACTTGCTTAAGACTTGGATTTCAAACTTTTGTTTGGGCATGGAAATTTGATATCATTTTGCTTTGTTTAGCTTTGCATGCTCTGTTGTACTTACACCCACCCTCCCTTCATCCCTATGCATAGGCCGTCCACCTTTGAAAGATCAGCGTCTAAGTATGATTGGAACACACAAGGCTGGAAGGGTTATTAATTACCAATCACAATTGATCCCCCTTCAAGTTATCCCAAATGGACCCACAATACGACCCGCAGCATCCCTAAACTTTGTCCAGAATATTCGTCCACGTGCCATCTCACCACCCACTGTCCAATCACACCCTTATTGGGCGGAGTCTACGCTCTCTTTACTACCTCCATTACCCCCTTCGGCTCTAGCAAATCAACTTACCGCAGCACACCAAAATCCAAGAACTTCGCTCTATCGAAAAGCAGCCACTAGTAATGCGGATCTTCGTCGTCCCAATCGGTTAATTAGACAAAGGAACTCGTTAGTAATTGATGGTGAGCCTCTAACCAGAGACCTTAGAGCAACTCAGAGACCGCAATCAGTTTGCACTCCACTTCTACTTGCAAATGGAAGTGGAGAAGCTTGCTCCAATCCTGCAGAAGATCTCGGTACCTATCTGTTTGCAGATGCATGCTTTATCTCTACGATTTTATTTATGCCTTTTGCATGAAATTGGCTTTTGTGTTCACTTGCTCGTATTTAGCCCCATTTTATGTCAAGATAGTAATATACATGGACAACACTTAATTATATATATATATATATATATAGCAGAGAATCGCTGATTATGATTAGATAATGGGTTAATGGATTTACTTGTTCTACCCCTTTTGCTTATTAAATATTTGCTTTCCAGAAAATAATATGCACTGGGACAATCAAGCAGGATCAACACCCTCCAGTGCATTTGTGATAGCTGAGCCGCGTGGACTACAGAAAGTCCCAATGATGAGACAAACCCCTGTAATATCAGCATCCCGACAGGAGTCTTTAAATGGCTCCGCCAATACCCTTGCTGCACCTATTCTCGCCGCCGACTCGCAGCCACATCAACCCTCAGCTGATGGTACCCTCAAAGCTTCCCCTCGAATCAAGGGAGATAGAGAGGAACCTGCTTCTAACGGAGTCAAAACTAATGGTCTCAAACCGCGTCCATTGCCTCCTAACGTAATCATTGGCAATGGCAATGACAATGATACATCGAAAAGTGTGAGTTGATAGTCCCTCTACTTGTTATTATTTCAGTAGTTTCATGAATTTAATTTGTTATTTGGTTTTGTTTCAAGGACGCACTAAAGTCTAATACAGACAACACATATCTCCTCAAACCCCTCTTGGAAAACTCCGATGACGGTCATGTCGGAACACTTAAGAAGCAGAATCAATAAGATAGAATCCGTTTCTCACTTCTCTTACTTACTGTAAATTGATCTCTACCGTCTTTCTGTGGCAATAACTCTTCTTATCTTAACTCCAAACTTGGTAACCAGCACTAAACCTCTGTATATTTGCATATGCGCGTTTGTGTAAGTGCTTTTTATTCGGACTCGATTGCCCAAATGTAGTCCTACTCTATTTGAGTGTAACTAGATTTATTGGTAAATATCCCGCCCCCACTTCCCCAACTCCCCCCTCCTGATGCGATGTAACTTTACCACACAAATAACAATTTGATCTTTCCTCTTTCTTCTTATTTAAATGTTGTTGTTTTGAAAGTCATTGAATAAAAAATCAGTGCATTTTATTGATTAGCTTTTGTCCATCCAAACTGTTTCATGCTTTCGCATTGCTTGACCAGCACATCGGAAAGGAAGTGATTGTTTAGTCTAGACTGCATAGTTCTTTGCTACTCGATGACGCCTCCTAACTTGTTTGCAAGTTTTATTAGCGATTCATGTTTGGTTTGCCGACATTAATTTATTGCGTTACTTAGAAGTGAGAATTTCGATCCGAATTTAAATTCTGTAATTATTGAACACTTTAGGAAAGCACAAAGTATAAACTCAGCTAATAATACTAATTGTGTTGCTTTGAAACTGACTAAGAGATGGACCAACGTTATGAGGCCAAGAGCTGGAAAAATGATTCCTAGAACTCATATCATTACTAGCAGTGTTTCCAAGTTTGTCGTTCTGTTGATCCTGAATTTTCCGGAGTGAACAGAGGTGTGAATATCTAGCCCACTACTCATCTGCCAGGATTGTGTGTGTGTTGGTTTAATCCCAATAACGTTTGAGTTGAAGAGATGAAGGAATCTTGTACTTGGCAAATGACAATAGTCCAAAGTCTCGGCATTGCGAGAGGCATTTTTCGTAATTCAGTTGTCAAAGAGGCTATTTTCTGAACTCGTTTTCTGACACCTCTGTTTATGCTATTAATATGGTTGGCTAATTAATAGTAAGTACTGAATCCGAGACCTCTGACCTAATGACGCTTACAAATAGCTTCTCTATTTTGTTGAATATAGTCATACGGCAAAAAGTCTATTAACCGGCAGTTGACTTCTGACTTCAAACTACTATCACCGCACTGTATGTCATATGCGACTATTTCCACAGTATTCACCTCACCTTTTTTCCACCTTTGTGTCTGTCTCTTTTACATCTCTGAAACATTCTTCTACCCCCCCCCCCTTCGATCATCTCGACTTTTTTCACTTTGATGTTCCTTCCCCTCGGTGAAGCCTGAAGTCAACTAAAGGGCTAATGTTAACTATCAAAACGCCTGCCACTTGTTAGAAATGAATAAATTTTGTTAAATGCCAAATTGACATAAAATTGTTTCTTCCCAGTTGAAAGCATTTATTTGAAAAAAGTCAGTGAGAATAGCTCTGAACTTCAAATAGGTAAAGTAAATTCAGTAGATCTGAAGAGAGTTAAACAGCCCAATTCTACTTAATTGAAGTTTTATGGCAAACAAACTGCGAAGAGTGTGTTGTTTGTGTCTCCGATCACGTATCTCACACTAACTCCTTTTAACTGCACATATGTGATAATTGCAATACCGACTTACAGGATTAAAACCGTGTTAAAATAATTGTAGTTTCAGTGTTTAATTGGGGGATTTTTTGTGCATACCAATGACTCTTTCAGCCGCATAAATTA